AAAAAGCTACTGCTTAAACCAGATTCAGAGTGGAGAGATCTTCCAAGCAACCACGAAGGGACTTTAACCCTCAAACTTCTGATCCGAAGTCAGACGCCTTATCCTTTAGGCCACGCGGTTCCAGTTTCAGTCAGTAGCTCCATTGAGAGAAGTTTTCAATTTTTTCTTACAGTACAAGGTTGATAATGTCAACAAAGAGAGCATTATTTTTTCATTCCTAATGACAAAAACGTGCGATTATCAGTTGTTGCACCAAACGGTGATATGTGGAATAATCTGAAAAATGCAAGGGTAAAGATCGTTCAAGCAACCACAAAGGGACTTGAACCCTCAATCTTCCGATCCAGTTACCTTTGGGCTCAGTCAGTAGCTCCATTGAGAGAAGTTGTTTTTGTCTTCCATACATTAATAGCTTGATAATGTCCACAAGGCATTTGTGGCCTTCCGGGGGTTGTAAACCGCGATATTGTCACCGCGCTCAGAGCAAATCCTGTGCTGATTATTTCTCATTTGAAGTTTTCAATTTTTTCTTACATTACAAGGTTGATAAAGTCAACACAGAAATTGTGGCCCGTACGGGGCTGAACCCGTGACTTTGGCGTTATTAGCACCATGCTCTAACCACCTGAGCTAACCGGCCTTGACGTGCTACAGGGTTTCATGTCGTTATTTTCTCATTCCTAATGACAATAAATTGCTACATGTATGATGTTCAGTTGTAGCACGAAACCGTTCTATGTGGAAAATTGGTACTTCTTAAACAAGATTCAGAGGGTTGAGATCTTCCAAGCAACCACGAAGGGACTTGAACCCTCAATCTTCTGATCCGAAGTCAGACGCCTTATCCTTTAGGCCAAGCTGTTCCAGTTTCCTTGGGGTTCAGTCAGTAGCTCCATTGAGAGAAGTTGTTTTTGTCTTCCATACATTAATAGCTTGATGATGTCAACAAGGCAGTTGTTGCCTTCTGGGGGTGTAAACGTCAATATAGCCACCGCGCTCAGAGCAAATCTTGTGCTGATTATTAGGTATTTAGAGTGGAGAGCCCTCAAGCAACCATGAAGGTACTTGACCGCTCCATCTTCTGATCTGAAGTCACACAACATACCCTTTAGGCCACACAGTACCAGCTTCCTTGGAGTTCATTCAGTAGCTCCATTGAGAGAAGTTTTCAATTTGTTCTTACAGTAGAAGGTTGATAACGTCAACTAAGAAGTTGCGGCCCGTACGGGGGTTGAACCCGTGACCTTGGCGTTATTAGCACCACGCTCTAACCAACTGAGCTAACCGGCCTCGAGGTGATCCAGAATATCATGTCTTTATTTTCTCATTCCTAATGAAATAACTTGCTAAATGTGTGATGTTCGGTTGTTGCACCAAACGGTACTATGTGGAATAATCTCAAAAAGCTACTGCTTAAACCAGATTCAGAGTGGAGAGATCTTCCAAGCAACCACGAAGGGACTTTAGCCCTCAAACTTCTGATCCGAAGTCAGACGCCTTATCCTTTAGGCCACGCGGTTCCAGTTTCAGTCAGTAGCTCCATTGAGAGAAGTTTTCAATTTTTTCTTACAGTACAAGGTTGATAATGTCAACAAAGAGAGCATTATTTTTTCATTCCTAATGACAAAAACGTGCGATTATCAGTTGTTGCACCAAACGGTGATATGTGGAATAATCTGAAAAATGCAAGGGTAAAGATCGTTCAAGCAACCACAAAGGGACTTGAACCCTCAATCTTCCGATCCAGTTACCTTTGGGCTCAGTCAGTAGCTCCATTGAGAGAAGTTGTTTTTGTCTTCCATACATTAATAGCTTGATAATGTCCACAAGGCATTCGTGGCCTTCCGGGGGTTGTAAACCGCAATATTGTCACCGCGCTCAGAGCAAATCCTGTGCTGATTATTTCTCATTTGAAGTTTTCAATTTTTTCTTACAGTACAAGGTTGATAAAGTCAACACAGAAATTGTGGCCAGTACGGGGGCTGAACACGTGACCTTGGTGTTATTAGCACCTCGCTCTAATCAACTGAGCTAACCAGCCTTCACGTGCGTTAGGGTTTCATGTCGTTATTTTCTCATTCCTAATAACAATAACTTGCTACAGGTATGATGTACAGTTGTTGCACCAAACGGTTCTATGTGGAATAATCTCAAAATGGTACTTCTTAAACAACATTCAGAGGGTTGAGATCTTCCAAGCAACCACGAAGGGACTTGACCCCTCAAACTTCTGATCCGAAGTCAGACGCCTTATCCTTTAGGCCAAGCTGTTCCGTTTTCCTTGGGGTTCAGTCAGTAGCTCCATTGAGAGAAGTTGTTTTTGTCTTCCATACATTAATAGCTTGATGATGTCAACAAGGCAGTTGTTGCCTTCTGGGGGTGTAAACGTCAATATAGCCACCGCACTCAGAGCAAATCTTGTGCTGATTATTAGGTATTTAGAGTGGAGAGCCCTCAAGCAACCATGAAGGTACTTGACCGCTCCATCTTCTGATCTGAAGTCACACAACATACCCTTTAGGCCACACAGTACCAGCTTCCTTGGAGTTCATTCAGTAGCTCCATTGAGAGAAGTTTTCAATTTGTTCTTACAGTAGAAGGTTGATAAAGTCAACTAAGAAGTTGTGGCCCGTACGGGGGTTGAACCCGTGACCTTGGCGTTATTAGCACCACGCTCTAACCAACTGAGCTAACCGGCCTCGAGGTGATCCAGAATATCATGTCTTTATTTTCTCATTCCTAAGGAAATAACTTGCTAAATGTGTGATGTTCGGTTGTTGCACCAAACGGTACTATGTGGAATAATCTCAAAAAGCTACTGCTTAAACGAGATTCAGAGTGGAGAGATCTTCCAAGCAACCACGAAGGGACTTGAACCCTCAATCTTCTGATCCGAAGTCATACGCCTTATCCTTTAGGCCACGCGGTTCGAGTTTCAGTCAGTAGCTCCATTGAGAGAAGTTTTCAATTTTTTCTTACAGTACAAGGTTGATAGTCAACAAAGAGAGCATTATTTTTTCATTCCTAATGACAAAAACGTGCGATTATCAGTTGTTGCACCAAACGGTGATATGTGGAATAATCTGAAAAATGCAAGGGTAAAGATCGTTCAAGCAACCACAAAGGGACTTGAACCCTCAATCTTCCGATCCAGTTACCTTTGGGCTCAGTCAGTAGCTCCATTGAGAGAAGTTGTTTTTGTCTTCCATACATTAATAGCTTGATAATGTCCACAAGGCATTTGTGGCCTTCCGGGGGTTGTAAAACCGCGATATTGTCACCCGCGCTCAGAGCAAATCCTGTGCTGATTATTTCTCATTTGAAGTTTTCAATTTTTTCTTACATTACAAGGTTGATAGAGTCAACACAGAAATTGTGGCCCGTACGGGGCTGAACCCGTGACTTTATTAGCACCACGCTCTAACCACCTGAGCTAACCGGCCTTGACGTGCTTCAGGGTTTCATGTCGTTATTTTCTCATTCCTAATGACAATAACTTGCTACAAGTATGATGTTCAGTTGTAGCACGAAACCGTTCTATGTGGAAAATTGGTACTTCTTAAACAAGATTCAGAGGGTTGAGATCTTCCAAGCAACCACGAAGGGACTTGACCCCTCAATCTTCTGATCCGAAGTCAGACGCCTTATCCTTTAGGCCAAGCTGTTCCAGTTTCCTTGGGGTTCAGTCAGTAGCTCCATTGAGAGAAGTTGTTTTTGTCTTCCATACATTAATAGCTTGATGATGTCAACAAGGCAGTTGTTGCCTTCTGGGGGTGTAAACGTCAATATAGCCACCGCACTCAGAGCAAATCTTGTGCTGATTATTAGGTATTTAGAGTGGAGAGCTCTCAAGCAACCATGAAGGTACTTGACCGCTCCATCTTCTGATCTGAAGTCACACAACATACCCTTTAGGCCACACAGTACCAGCTTCCTTGGAGTTCATTCAGTAGCTCCATTGAGAGAAGTTTTCAATTTGTTCTTACAGTAGAAGGTTGATAACGTCAACTAAGAAGTTGTGGCCCGTACGGGGGTTGAACCCGTGACCTTGGCGTTATTAGCACCACGCTCTAACCAACTGAGCTAACCGGCCCGTGGGATTCTACTGAAATTCATAGCATTATTTTTTCATTCCTAATGACAAAAACGTGCGATTATCAGTTGTTGCACCAAACGGTGATATGTGGAATAATCCGAAAAATGCAAGGGTAAAGATCGTTCAAGCAACCACAAAGGGACTTCAACCCTCAATCTTCTGATCCAGTTACCTTTGGGCTCAGTCAGTAGCTCCATTGAGAGAAGTTGTTTTTGTCTTCCATACATTAATAGCTTGATGATGTCAACAAGGCATTTGTTGCCTTCTGGGGGTGTAAACGTCGATATAGCCACCGCACTCAGAGCAAATCTTGTGCTGATTATTAGGTATTTAGAGTGGAGAGCTCTCAAGCAACCATGAAGGTACTTGACCGCTCGATCTTCTGATCTGAAGTCAGACAACATACCCTTTTGGCCACACAGTACCAGCTTCCTTGGAGTTCATTCAGTAGCTCCATTAAGAGAAGTTTTCAATTTTTTCTTACAGTAGAAGGTTGATAACGTCAACTAAGAAGTTGTGGCCTGTACGGGGGTTGAACCCATGACCTTGGCGTTATTAGCACCACGCTCTAACCAACTGAGCTAACCGGCCTCGAGGTGACCCAGAATATCATGTCTTTATTTTCTCATTCCTAATGAAATAACTTGCTAAATGTGTGATGTTCGGTTGTTGCACCAAACGGTACTATGTGGAATAATCTCAAAAAGCTACTGCTTAAACCAGATTCAGAGTGGAGAGATCTTCCAAGCAACCACGAAGGGACTTGAACCCTCAATCTTCTGATCCGAAGTCAGACGCCTTATCCTTTAGGCCACGCAGTTCTCGATTGAGTCAGTAGCTCCATTGAGAGAAGTTTTCAATTTTTTCTTACAGTACAAGGTTGATAAAGTCAACACAGAAACTG